GCCAACATGTCCTCCCTCAGAAGGCGATATTGGTTGTCGAGGTGTATTTGTGGCCGAGTTGCGGGTTCGGCTTGGGCAACATCGCTTGCAAGCCTTAGAAAAGGTCGGAGGGAAGAGGCAAACTCGTCGCTTGTCGGATAGACGGAGATATCTCTGAAATTTGCAGTCGTTGTCATGCCGGCCGCCCGGCGCCTCCCCGATGGGTCCTGACTCGACGGCAGAGTTGAGTTTGAGAGCCCTTTGGATCCGATATCCAAGCTCGCGGACTTTGGGGTTGGTGTCATGGAGGAATGAACGTTTCTCCACGGCGGCGACCAAGCTTTCGACAATGGAGACGAGTTCCTGCCCAGGCAGGGTGACAATTTCGAGAGACAGCCAGGCAAAGACCTCGGCGTTTCCGTACTGAAGCGTGTCATCAAGCCATAGCGTCAGGAGATAGTTCCAGGCAATCGGGGGGTTCACAATCGCCAAAAGTATTTGGCGTAGAAGACTGCCCTCGTGGATGGCTCTAATGCCCGGATGTGCCAGGTATTCCAAGAAGGGGACGACATGGGCGGTCAGAAACACGGGTGAGGGATCGGTTCGGACGCTTGTGCTTATACCACGAATGCCGTGCTCGCTGGCCACAATGGTCTCAATGCAAGCCGATGGGTCCGGCTGAGCCCTCACAGCTTCCAGGTAGAGGCGAGCGTCGGTGGCAGTTGAGACAGTACGGTGCCCCGCGACGATGTCTTTGAAGGTCTTTGCGAGACGTCTCGTACGAGCTGGGTCGATGTTCTCGGGCTTCATGCTGACCGAATGGGACATTGAAATGCTTGGTCAACACGGTGGTGGACAGCAGCTTCTGGTAGAGAAGGACTGTGGTAATATAAGGAAACGCCAGAGGCCTTGCAATCGATAAATCGATACGTCCAACACGAACAGATGGCTTGCTTTGATGGGGAAGGTCCTTCTTTAAGACGGTGAAAGGATGTGTTGATCTTATCGTTGTTGTTGGCTTTCCGAGAAGAAGTAATTGATGAAGGAAACGCCTTGGGGATCGAAAGTTCCGCAAATGTCTAAATGAAAAAAATAGACTAGTAGGTGAAGATATGTGTGGCCAATGACCAGACCTTCCATCCTGAGCATTGCGTGACAAGTTGGTCCGTTGGTCTTCGACTGGCCGGCAGGGTGGTGGTCAGGCATCGGCCACTTGGGCGCGGGTTACACCAAACGTAGCAGATCATGGTAGGCCTCCCGCATGAATTTCGGCCTCCTGAATGGCCGCAAGGCGCATCACATGCAGAATGTTGCAGCCAACAGACGAACGTCATAAGTGCTGTCCGTCGGCGCAGGCAGCCTGACGAAGAAAGATAAAAGGACAACCTTGGGTGTAATAGCGGATGTGAAGGGTCACTGAGGACACGAGAAATAGCTCCAAGTTCTTCCTCCTCAAGTCGCCCGTTATCTTATTCCCGTCTACTCAATAACAATGTCAGCTAATCATAGAGGCTACAGCTCAAACTTCAGAGGTCGGGGAGCAAACCGCGGCCGATATGGCTGGCGTCGGGGTCCATCCATGCCGCTCGCCTCACCAACACCAAGCTATCCCCCCCTTCCACTTGGGCCCGAGATCGCCTGCATTTCGGTCGCGAAACTAGCCAAAGACGATGCCATACCTGTCGAAAAAGCACGAGTATCCGCTTGTCAGCTTGTCGCATCGTACAATTGGCTCGACAAACCCAAACCTACGATCATCACCCCCGGCTTGCCTCCTCGGTGGAATCCCCCTTCCGAGCCTCCCCAACTCAAGGAAGATTCAGGGGTCTTCTACCGAGATCGTAATGCCAGTCGCTTGCCCTTGCACCCGATGGAGCCAGCCATCGAGTCCATCCTTCTTACACGGCCATCTTTCGCCGTCGTCTCGTCGACGCCCATCGACATCGTCGCGTGCGGCAGCACCCTGGGCAACCTCCTCCGCTTTACGAGTGGTGATGGAAT